ATTTTTATTTACAATTTTTTTTTTCTGCTGGCATAATTTAATGTAGCGATTAAAACCCTAAAATTTTCGAAGTGACTTCCACGCTTAATTTCAACGTTAATACCTTAAAAATTATTGAGAATCATAAAAAATAGGCCCTCTTCCAAAAACACACGGATTTTGGTAGCTCGACTGGACTATAAAAATAAGGCCGACAGAAATGGTGCGCGTATGCTCATTGTAGTATACAAGGGCCACTGCAGACCAACTGCCATAGCCAACTGCAGACTGAGATCACACCGGATGGGACTGGTGGAAGATGCTGAATGCCATAGATGAAAAAAGTCTGAATGCCGACGCTGCCGCTGTATGGGAAGTGACGAAACTATGAAGCACGTATGTGTACCTGCCCCGCTGGGAACAAGAACAGGTTTCAGGTTTTTGGCACAACCATACCAGACTTATCAGACCTTGGTGACATATCAACCTCTGATATAACAACCTATGTTAAAAGGCTGAGTAAATAAAAAGTTAGGTAATTAAAAGTTTGTAGAACTGTGCCACCCTAGGCACTCACGGCCGTAGTGCAGTGTCCCCCACTTGGGACCCTCTTTTAGAAAATACACCAAATACATAACCTAGATGATTCTTATAGAAGTGTTATGTTCTAGTAGTTATATTCCCAGAATCCATCAGGCTAAAATTATTTATTTTAAACATAGCAATTGTATTATAAACCATTTATTTCTAAGAGAACAAACTTTTATCTGTTTCATAAAAATTGGACGAGTAACTGGTATTCTTTTAACAAATAACAAAATAATACTTTATTTTATGTTCAATGTGACGTGATAAATCAATACCAGTTGCCTCGCCCCTAGATACAAAATTAAATTACTCCTACAAAATTAATTTAAAAAAAATATTTTCAAGTTATCTCTCAGAGAACTAAGAGAAAGAAAAAAATAAATAAATACACTTGTTCACTACGTTTATCTTTCGCGATACCATCGACCACGTGGCTTCCGGAGAATTCGCGGAGACTTTGGAGACGTCATTACGCGCCTCTGCTTTCGTCGCATCGGCCGTACCGTTCGTTTTAATGGAACAGCCGGTTTCTTATTAACGCTAGTACCACTACTGGCTAGTTTTTTCACAAACACAAACGGTTGCATTGTACTATTATCCCTAAGTTCACTATTATCTACTACCCTGTCCGAATCGAAATCATCAACGTCGCCCGTTTTGTGGTTGTGATTTCCGTCTCCTTCCGTAATACTGTAGCAATCGTCGTGTTCTTCACCGTCTTCATCATCGGTGTCACATTGTTTTAGATCGCCGGCCACGCTTTCGTTCTCGCCTTTCAACACCTTCCTTTCTTTACCTTGGGCCAGCCAGTCTTGTTCTTTCTCTTACTGGGTTTCCTTCCGGTAGGCCCGTTGTACATTTTCTTGACGATTTTTTCATTCTCTCGAATCTTAGATTGTTCAAACAGGGTCATTATAACGTCCACGTTCAGTCTGCTGTCCTTAAAACTTGCATAATCTGGATCTGTTGTCGGTTCCAAATTTAGATCTACGTCTTCGTCGAGTAGAGCGTCGAATTTCTCTTCCATGCGAATAGCGTTGGCGACGAGGTCTATTTTCTTCCTCGGTTTCTGAGGAGGGGACTTTCGATGTGCAACCGGTGGTACCGGTGTTGGTTTTTCCGGAATGGTTTGTAACGCCGGAGAGAAGTTGCCCGTGGCTCCTGTTCGAAGTCGCCTCTTTCTCTGATGGATCAGACTTAAAATAGCCAAGGTGGGTGCATGCTGTCTTGGAGATTTTCTGGGACTTCGTCCTCCGCTGGACCTAGGAAGTAAGGCCAAACATTTTCTTCATCTTCCTACGCGACACCTCTCAAATGCTACTGGCTGTTTTGATTTCAGAACGTCATTTGGTGTTTTAATTATTTTTATAAGTTATGATGCAAAATATTTATTTAAGAGTTTTTTGAAATATGCGGGAAAATTGGTAGGAAAATGTAAAATTTCAATGTTTTTGTAAGAAGAGTTCATCCTCTATGATCATGAACGTGCTTGTGCATAAACTTACTAAAATATATTACTTATTTTTAATATAGGCTATGCATATCAAACAAGTACAAGTATTTGTATTATAAACCATTTATTTCTGAAAGAACAAACTTTTATCTGTTTCATAAAAATTAGACGAGTAACTGGTATTCTTTTAACAATTAACAAAATAATACTTTATTTTATGTACAATGTGACGTGATAAATCAGTACCAGTTGCCTCGCCCCTAGATACAAAATTAAATTACTCCTACATAATTAAATATTTTGGTACAAAATATTTTCAAGTTATCTCTCACAGAACTAAGAGAAAGAAAAATATAAATAAATACACTTGTTCACTACGTTTATCTTTCGCGATACCATCGACCACATGGCTTCCGGAGAATTCGCGGAGACTTTGGAGACGTCATTACGCGCCTCTGGCCTCTGCTTTTGTCGCATCGGCCGTACCGTTCGTTTTAATGGAACGGCCGGTTTCTTATTAACGCTAGTTCCACTACTGGCTAGTTTTTTCACAAACACAAACGGTTGCATTGTACTATTATCCCTAAGTTCACTATTATCTACTACCCTGTCCGAATCGAAATCATCAACGTCGCCCGTTTTGTGGTTGTGATTTCCGTCTCCTTCCGTAATACTGTAGCAATCGCCGTGTTCTTCACCGTCTTCATCATCGGTGTCCGCATTGTTTAGATCGCCGGCCACGCTTTCGTTCTCGCCTTTCAACACCTTCCTTTTCTTTACCTTGGGCCAGCCAGTCTTGTTTTTTCTCTTACTGGGTTTCCTTCCGGTAGGCCCCGTTGTACATTTTCTTGACGATTTTTTCATTCTCTCGGATCTTAGATTGTTCAAACAGGGTCATTATATCGTCCACGTTCAGTCTGCTGTCCTTAAAACTTGCATAATCTGGATCTGTTGTCGGTTCCAAATTTAGATCTACGTCTTCGTCGAGTAGAGCGTCGAATTTCTCTTCCATGCGAATAGCGTTGGCGACGAGGTCTATTTTCTTCCTCGGTTTCTGAGGAGGGGACTTTCGATGTGCAACCGGTGGTACCGGTGTTGGTTTTTCCGGAATGGTTTGTAACGCCGGAGAGAAGTTGCCCGTGGCTCCTGTTCGAAGTCGCCTCTTTCTCTGATGGATCAGACTTAAAATAGCCAAGGTGGGTGCATGCTGTCTTGGAGATTTTCTGGGACTTCGTCCTCCGCTGGACCTAGGAAGTAAGGCCAAACATTTTCTTCATCTTCCTACGCGACACCTCTCAAATGCTACTGGCTGTTTTGATTTCAGAACGTCATTTGGTTTTTTAATTATTTTTATAAGTTATGATGCAAAATATTTATTTAAGAGTTTTTTGAAATATGCGGGAAAATTTGAAGGAAAATGTAAAATTTCAATGTTTTTGTAAGAAGAGTGCATCCTCTATGATCATGAACGTGCTTGTGCATAAACTTACTAAAATATATTACTTATTTTTAATATAGGCTATGCATATCAAACAAGTACAAGTATTTGTATTATAAACCATTTATTTCTGAAAGAACAAACTTTTATCTGTTTCATAAAAATTAGACGAGTAACTGGTATTCTTTTAACAATTAACAAAATAATACTTTATTTTATGTACAATGTGACGTGATAAATCAGTACCAGTTGCCTCGCCCCTAGATACAAAATTAAATTACTCCTACATAATTAAATATTTTGGTACAAAATATTTTCAAGTTATCTCTCACAGAACTAAGAGAAAGAAAAATATAAATAAATACACTTGTTCACTACGTTTATCTTTCGCGATACCATCGACCACGTGGCTTCCGGAGAATTCGCGGAGACTTTGGAGACGTCATTACGCGCCTCTGGCCTCTGCTTTCGTCGCATCGGCCGTACCGTTCGTTTTAATGGAACGGCCGGTTTCTTATTAACGCTAGTTCCACTACTGGCTAGTTTTTTCACAAACACAAACGGTTGCATTGTACTATTATCCCTAAGTTCACTATTATCTACTACCCTGTCCGAATCGAAATCATCAACGTCGCCCGTTTTGTGGTTGTGATTTCCGTCTCCTTCCGTAATACTGTCGCAATCGTCGTGTTCTTCACCGTCTTCATCATCGGTGTCCGCATTGTTTAGATCGCCGGCCACGCTTTCGTTCTCGCCTTTCAACACCTTCCTTTTCTTTACCTTGGGCCAGCCAGTCTTGTTCTTTCTCTTACTGGGTTTCCTTCCGGTAGGCCCGTTGTACATTTTCTTGACGATTTTTTCATTCTCTCGGATCTTAGATTGTTCAAACAGGGTCATTATATCGTCCACGTTCAGTCTGCTGTCCTTAAAACTTGCATAATCTGGATCTGTTGTCGGTTCCAAATTTAGATCTACGTCTTCGTCGAGTAGAGCGTCGAATTTCTCTTCCATGCGAATAGCGTTGGCGCCGAGGTCTATTTTCTTCCTCGGTTTCTGAGGAGGGGACTTTCGATGTGCAACTGGTGGTGCCGGTGTTGGTTTTTCCGGAATGGTTTGTAACGCCGGAGAGGAGTTGCCCGTGGCTCCTGTTCGAAGTCGCCTCTTTCTCTGATGGATCAGACTTAAAATAGCCAAGGTGGATGCATGCTGTCTTGGAGATTTTCTGGGACTTCGTCCTCCGCTGGACGTAGGAAGTAAGGCCAAACATTTTCTTCATCTTCCTACGCGACACCTCTCAAATGCTACTGGCTGTTTTGATTTCAGAACGTCATTTGGTTTTTTAATTATTTTTATAAGTTATGATGCAAAATATTTATTTAAGAGTTTTTTGAAATATGCGGGAAAATTTGAAGGAAAATGTAAAATTTCAATGTTTTTGTAAGAAGAGTGCATCCTCTATGATCATGAACGTGCTTGTGCATAAACTTACTAAAATATATTACTTATTTTTAATATAGGCTATGCATATCAAACAAGTACAAGTGTTTGTATTATAAACCATTTATTTCTGAAAGAACAAACTTTTATCTGTTTCATAAAAATTAGACGAGTAACTGGTATTCTTTTAACAATTAACAAAATAATACTTTATTTTATGTACAATGTGACGTGATAAATCAGTACCAGTTGCCTCGCCCCTAGATACAAAATTAAATTACTCCTACAAAATTAAATATTTTGGTACAAAATATTTTCAAGTTATCTCTCAGAGAACTAAGAGAAAGAAAAAAATAAATAAATACACTTGTTCACTACGTTTATCTTTCGCGATACCATCGACCACGTGGCTTCCGGAGAATTCGCGGAGACTTTGGAGACGTCATTACGCGCCTCTGGCCTCTGCTTTCGTCGCATCGGCCGTACCGTTCGTTTTAATGGAACGGCCGGTTTCTTATTAACGCTAGTTCCACTACTGGCTAGTTTTTTCACAAACACAAACGGTTGCATTGTACTATTATCCCTAAGTTCACTATTATCTACTACCCTGTCCGAATCGAAATCATCAACGTCGCCCGTTTTGTGGTTGTGATTTCCGTCTCCTTCCGTAATACTGTCGCAATCGTCGTGTTCTTCACCGTCTTCATCATCGGTGTCCGCATTGTTTAGATCGCCGGCCACGCTTTCGTTCTCGCCTTTCAACACCTTCCTTTTCTTTACCTTGGGCCAGCCAGTCTTGTTCTTCTTTCTCTTACTGGGTTTCCTTCCTGTAGGCCCGTTGTACATTTTCTTGACGATTTTTTCATTTTCTCGAATCTTAGATTGTTCAAACAGGGTCATTATATCGTCCACGTTCAGTCTGCTGTCTTTAAAACTTGCATAATCTGGATCTGTTGTCGGTTCCAAATTTAGATCTACGTCTTCGTCGAGTAGAGCGTCGAATTCCTCTTCCATGCGAATAGCGTTGGCGACGAGGTCTATTTTCTTCTTCCTCGGTTTCTGAGGAGGGGACTTTCGATGTGCAACTGGTGGTGCCGGTGTTGGTTCTTCCGGAATGGTTTGTAACGCCGGAGAGGAGTTGCCCGTGGCTCCTGTTCGAAGTCGCCTCTTTCTCTGATGGATCAGACTTAAAATAGCCAAGGTGGATGCATGCTGTCTTGGAGATTTTCTGGGATTTCGTCCTCCGCTCGTCGTAGGAGATAACGTCAAACATTTTCGTCGCCTTCCTACACGACGCGTCTCAACTTCTTCTGGAGGTTGTTCTTCTACATTTGTTGATACAGTGGACAAGTCACTCAACTTGCTATCTTCATCCATTTGTTCTACTTCTGGATCTTCCTCTTCTTCCTTTTCCTCTAGCACTGAGTCGGACATTTCTACGCTTTCTGCAACGTCTTCTGTAACTGGCTCTTCAGAAAGTTTCTCAGTATGGGAGTCTAAGACACCATTTAGGATTGCTTTGTATGCACTAAAGCACATTCTAGGATCTAAGGGTTTTAAGTGCGATATTTTGCATGGCAAAACAAAATCGTTCCAAAAGTCTGAAAAGGAATCAAAACATTTATTGATTGAAATTTTGAAAAATCGAAATATTACTTACAATTTCGACTAAACGGATAACGTTCTTCCGATCTATCTTGTCTCTGGAAAGTCTTGTACCATTTTTCATTTTCCGGAACGGTCTCAAAAGAAAAAGTGTAATCGTTCGCGTTAATTTTCAGTCTGTCGATGGCGTCCTTCTTTTCCTCCAAATCTTTTTCGATTTTCACTGTAACTTCGCCATTGGATTTTGTTGGTACAGGTGATAAATAGGAACCGTGATACCGTAATCTGTAAGAACTGAAAAAAGTTAAGAAAACTTGTTGACTTGAGGTGATGTACCGCCGACCTTTGTCGACAAAAATAAAACACTGACAACATAACACATATTGATTAATTAAATTCTGATAATAATGAATTAAAAAGGGGATGTTAATCAAGATATGGTGAAAATGTTCTTTTTGTTTTTAACAAAATAGCTAATTAATATAACAACTGTTTTTTATTTGATGTTAATACTAAAAATGACTGGTAGAATTAGTCTAAGCCAAAAATGGATTATAAATTAATTTGTTCAGCTGAATTTTTTATTTAGGTTACTACATCTTTTTTAGATTTTACTACATCTTTACATTTTGTTTTCTGTTTACTTGCAGTACACAGAATTTACAATTTAAAAATTACAGGACCTGAAGTAGGACAACTATTTGAAATTACTTTCAGTGTCCATTTGTCTACCAATCTACATACTTAAAAATTATGTATGAAATATATCTACGTAGGTTGCCTTTAAACATTTACAATCGCTTGTTTCTTCAGTTGTACTGGACACGCCGCAACCATTCTATTAGAGAATCGAAGAACGTTAATGGTACGAATGTTAATGCCGAATGGTATACAACAATTTGTTTACCAACGGTCTTCGATGAAATAAGGAAAAAGAACTAAAAACGTCGCATCATTCTTTAGTCCAGTCATTTGGTATGGTTTGGTTTTACCTGGAAAGTTTTCCGGGAGTTTTGAAAATTGGTAATTTTATAGATTTCGATGTGCTCTTTCTGAATTTCAACTTTGCCTCCTCGTATCTATGCCGTTCGCGCCGCCATCTTGAAAAAATGGCGCCTAAAAGAGGTTTTTGACAATATCTTTCTGACTCATTTTACAATAAAAATATTTATATACAAAATGAAACTAGAGAAAATTTGCTACAATTTATGCAATAACCTTTTTTTCGAAAATTCAATAGTTTTGGCGTACGAGCGCCGCAAAGTGTACTTTGGCTTACTTTTACGTTTGGCAACTCTTGCAATATTTGAAGGAGAAAAACATCGAATGAATGTCTCATTGTCCGTATTCACCAGATTTATCGCCTAATGAGTTTTTCTTATTCCCCGCTGTCAAACAAAAGATGCGCGGACAGCGATTTTCATCGCCTCAAGAAGCTGTTGAAAACTTTCAAAATCATGTTTCTACGATATCAGCTTCAGAGTGAAAAAAATGTTTTCAGAATTGGTTTGAGCGTATGCAAAAATGTATAGACCTTAAGGGCGAATATTTCGAAAAAGCTATAAAACACTTTGTTTCGAACTTCTTCATTTCTGTTTCTTTTATTTAGAAATAAAAGACTTATATTGGTTAATAGGAAGAAGATCTAAACTGTCGCTAGAGAATATACAAAACCATAATAATACCTATTTCGACATATGGAGCAGAACTCTGGAGATGCGCTAGTAAATCAAAATATCGCCTTAATACAAAAGAGCCAATCTAAAATTCTACGGATGATAACAGACGCACCATGGTATATCTCCAATCATACTCTACATGAAGACTTAAAAATTCCGTCAACATTGACGTCAAAGAAGTCATCCAAACTCGGAGCAAAAAACATTTCAACAGACTACATGATCACACTAATACAATACAATACAGTCTCTACTTAAACCAGTACCTATAAGAAGACAATGGCCATCTGATTTGAAAGAATATTAGGAGGATTTTTCGCTGGAGAAGACCTCATCACGTTAACTGGAGCGTCACTGGTTTCAAGTCATCAAATCAGCCCATAGAATTTTTCTGTAATTATTCTGATTGCTAATAAATCATAAAAAAAATTTAAAAATTTCTGTTTCTCTTTTTATAAAAACTTAAAAGGCAACCTACGTAAATAAAGAGTGTAATGGTATTCAATAAATTATTATTATTATTATTTTAGAGTGCTCCTAAATATAATTTAAATTGAAATTCTAAACCCATTTTCCAATACATTAACAGATATATTAGGGCACAATAGATCGCAGTGATTAGGGGGGTTCATCACCCAACTCATTCTACCCCAATCATCAATCATTCTACCCCAGATATATTAACCAATCATTCTACCCCAGATATATTAAAAACAAAAACGGGTTATTAAAGTAATAAGGCAAAATAAGGCTGTGATCACATCATCTGCGTGATCTGTATTTTAATGCATGCGTCAGAAATAAATATAAATGACCGGTTGACAGACAGAGAGACAAAATAAAAAGCGGCATACAGTGTTGCCGGTTTTTACGTTTGTTGGAAAATGTGTGTAGAAAAAAATAAACTATTTTAAAAACTTTCATGTATATTACTGAAATGAAGATAATATATCTAAGCTAAATATAAACTATTACAGCTGTAGTAAAATTATTAACTAATTGTAAAAAATAAAGTTCCAACCCTAGATGCAACATTTTTCCTAAACGCCTAACTTTTTAATACATGTGATTTTCCATTGAGCTGTCTATATCACTGTCTTATGGTACGTACACATTGGCGCGCTGCGCCGCGAACGCGCGGCACGCGCGTACCGATTCGCCTCTATTAGTACGTGTTTTCAAGTTGCGCGCGCTCCGTGCGCAAACAGCTAGCGGCGAACCATCTCCAGTCGGTTTTTCGACGCTCCGCTTTGTTTGTTCGTTGTTTAGTTGGGACGGCCGGTGAAGACACCGCGCGCATTTATCAGTGACTATGTGTATTTTCTTTGAATAAATTCCCTTTTTTGTGTTTTTCTTTGAATATTGTTTATTAATGGAGTGTTTAAAGAGTCTCACTACTCATGATGAAAATTGCGTAGTTCTTCTCGGACGATAGAGACATGATTAACGACTAGACGAATGTTCGCGGGATTTCTATGGATCGCGGGATGTTCGTTAAAACAAAAAAAGAAACGCTCGCAGCGCGCGCCGCGCACCAATGTGTACGTACCATTACACGTTAAAATCTAGACCACGCAGTTTCTATAAGATTGTATATACTTGGCCATTTTAAATAAGTGGTTTATATTTTTTTACGTTAGACGAGACAAAGGTAGTTGACTACATTATAATTAGTTGACAGACAGAAAGAAATGCGGTTTATCAAACCGCGTTGGTGGTTCAGCAATATTGTATAGAAAAAATGTTTCAACTCTTTTAATTTAATACATAGTTAATATACAGGCAACCAAACTTATATGGAATCACTCTTTATTTCTGACTAAATTTCCTACAAGGATAAAAATTGGTATACAACTTTAAAATAAGGCTTTTTGTTGTAAATAAACATGATAATAAAGAATAAACGACTGCCGCGATTTATTTTCTTTTGGATTTTGTGTTCAGTAGTAAAATCACGATGTTGGATTAACAGATGTATAGAGGGGAAAAATTATTACTCTCAGCGAACAAGGAATGCTCCAGAGAGACAGACGTAGCAGAGACAGTAGGCGTTACCTAGGGTGTTGTATCGAAAACATATGCAAGATACTTGGAATTAGGAGCACATAAGGATAGGCCCAGACAAAGTCGTCAAAGAGTCACAACCGAACAACAAGACCGCCTTGTGTGCCAAATTGCTAGAATAAATCCCAATGTTTCTAATCCAGAGCTACAAAGACAACTTCTGGCAGGTACAGATGTGAACGTTTCAGTTGAAACCATAAGAAAAAGGCTTCGTGCTCGAGGGTTTTACAGTATGAGAGAGTTACGGATCCCACAGTTATCTCGGCAAAATAAATTTGACCGGCTAAATTGATGCCTTCAACATCAAAAATTGGACAACTGAGAATTGACAAAATGTTCTTTTTTCGGATGAGACCAGAATTGGCCTAAGATCAGATAACCATCGAATTCGGGTTCCCAGAGCTCCAGGACGACGAGGAAGGGTGCCAAATTTGTACCAAGATATAAAGGAGGAACTGTAATGTTCTGGGGAGGTATTATGCTGGGAGCAAAAACTCTATTGTTACCAACAAACTTTAAGGGGTCGGAGATGGCTTGATTTGGTGCTAGAACCAATCGTTAGTCTTTGGAGAGCTGCAATTGGTGATAATTTTAACTTCTTGCACGATAGTGCACCTCCCCATACCAGCAGAGTGACTAGAGAATGTCTTGAAATGGAAGGTGTCATAGTTTTGGACTGGCCTGCGTGTTCACCAGATCTAAACCCTATCGAACACTTGTGGGACTAGCTCAAAAGAAGGGTTAGAGCTCGTCGAAACAATCCAGGAAATCTTACACAGCTTATTGATGCAGCATTAGCAGAATTGGAAAACACACCCCAAGACAACATTGATACTTAAATAAGAAGCATGCCAGCGCGGATAGAAGCTTGCATAAGGGCTAGAGGTGGCAACAGGGAATATTAAAATTATCAATTTTCTTTTTGTTTCTGCTTTTTGGCCATTAAGAATTTAAATCTTAATTTTGTTTTAGAAAACAAAAAAATAAGATTTTGTTTATTTTGGGAACTGATTATTTTTTTTATTGCTATATGGATTATTTTTCATTAAAAGTCATTGGTAAGGACTGAGTTTTATTAATAAACACAAAATTTTCATACGTCTCAAAAATTATGAAAAATAATAGATGATTCCATATAAGTTTGGTTGTGTATATTATCAGCACTTGCACGTTAAAATTCAGACCACCGATTTTGAATTACCAGACTGGTATATGATGCTAATAACTTAATATATATATTTTTTTAATAGAAATTGTATTCCATAATACTAACCTTGACCCTGGCGTTTCAAATTTGTAATACTTTTGATTATCCATTATAAAAGCTTCGGCATGACTTCTTCTTTTCCGCCTCTTTCTACATTCCGATGAGATACTGTCCAATGAACATTCCTCTTCAACCTTGAATTTATCCGGCGGTTTAACTTCTTCAAGCTCACTCGAAGATGTTACTACAATTAGAACAGGATAATAACACTACTTGTTCTTTCAATAAAATTACTTTACATACTTTCAGTTGGTTCAGATTCGGTCTTGACCTCATCTTCAGTCTCATTTGTCTCATCCTCATGGCCCTCTTCCTCATCCTCACTCGACTCGTCCTTTTTAGGGAACAAAAAGTTTGTTGCCTCATTATTCAATTGAACTAGCTCTGAAAAATTCCCAAAAAAATCAGTAAAAACGTTTAATTTTTCTATCAAAAGAACGTATTACCAGAATTTCGAAGTTTTTTGAATTTGACAATGAGTCCTTTATCAGTATCGTTTTTTGACTGCTGCTGTTTTGTGGGTTCCTTGTCCTTTTCATTTGAACGAAGTTTATTTGATAGAACTTCTACTTTGTAATATGTCTTATTATCTGATACTAGCCGTTCATCTGCCGAAACTCTCTTAGATCTGTTAATACACGACCTTTTTGGCCGTCCTGAATCCCACAATTCTTGATCGGTTGTCAGCGACGTGAGTTTCTGAAAGGACATCAATATATTCAAAAAATTGTAGTCAGTCATAAACGATTAATATCATTTTCAATCATTAGTAATATCAATAAATACTACTTAGTTTTAAAAAAATCATTTTTACTATCATGTTTATGAATAGCTTTGTTCGCACAGAAAAATATCCAACCGGTTCGGTTGTCAGTTTATCTCTACCTTTGAATAAGAAGACTAAGGAAGGAGCATATCAAAAATCTTAGGTACACCGCGATGGGCCTCAAATATGGTCGACTTGAATTCCGGTTTATCAGTGTCGTTCTAATTTTATTTAAAAAATGTAAAACTATGATCACACTATGATGTAGGGTAGACGTGGGGTAGACTCAATAATTTGTTGTTTTATTTTACGTTGTGAATAAATGTTGGTAGTTATTAAAATTGTTATAAAAATATATAATTCTAATAAAAATAGATAAGTTATAATAAGTATTTATTACTACAAACATCCGATACGCTACTGAAGCAGGTAAGTCAAATTAACGTATCTAAATTCTTTGACATCTAATCTTTGACAAGTAATAAATAAAAGCTAAAACGCAAGAAAAATATATAATTTAGTTAATTTAAGTGAATTTCATAAATGATCGGTTTACTACACGTATGTATATTATATAGTCACTTACTAGCGAAAAGTTGTTCCATTATTTCACTCAATTTTTTTGCCGAGATCTACCGCACGCTACACAACCAACTATTTTAGAGTCTTTTTCGATAAATCGCGATAGTGTCACTGTTAATTTAAGTTCTGCCACAATTTCCATCTAGATTTACTACCTTTATACAACTATCAGTAGTAGAATAAATAATAAATAACATAAAATAAGCTCAGTAAAGACTGACAAATCCACAAAATTTCAAATCAAATTCAAATGTGTCAAATGAATCGTCAAGGATCCCCACCCTAGAGTGCTTTTATGGCGCTTTTTCCGCCCACCATGCATGAATACATGGATAGCATTATGCTCCTTCCTTAGTCTTCTTATTCAAAGATCTCTACGCATCGTTTCCAACTGGTCTCAAACCTGGTTGTGGATTATAGTTCTGTGAACGATCAATCGAAATCAAATGACAATGAGTAAGTCCGCGAATGACGTAACAATTAACTTTTGACAGTTCTGTTCACTATTTATTTATATGAGGAATTGGAAAGGGAAATAAAATAAATATTTTTCTTGTGTTGTCATAAATTATTATTCTTCTCTTATTAAATTTGATTAAGTCTAAAGTTAAGAAATTCTGGTACAAAAATTGTTCATATTATAGAAGACTTCAAACGTAACACCGTAAGTTCAAAATGTATAATTAAATATAAATTATTTTTGCTACATTTAATTTTTTATTTATGTTAATACAAAAATAGTTTGTTTTTAACTAAAAAATTTTTAATAGTTACGCAGACTGTTCTGACGATTAGAAATCAGTTGGAAGCTCCTAATTTTTGTTCTGCGAACGCTGTATTTTTGCTTAGGAATCAAAAATATTGCTTTTGCAACACCTTTAAACATCATGCGCATGTGTCGGACCGTTGTAAACTATTTCTAACTGCTCTGCGAACGAGAAGCTAATAGATCATAATTCAACAGACATGCCTAAAAGAGGGAATATAATCTACACGTCATGCAAAGTAATGTAATATAATGAATATACCAGGCAATAAAAAAATTTTGCAAATATATTAGTTTGGTTGTTTTTTATCGAGAAAATTTGAAAACTAGATTAAAAATTAATTCATTAAACATATATTTCTCATTGAAAAATAACTGAATGTCAGCCTAACTGAAATATTTTAAACAGCACTTAAATGTATATTTTTTACATAATTATTTAAGGTTTAAAGTATTATATTATGGGTTTTCAGTGTGAAATTAATTCGATTTTAAATATGAATCACAAAGGCCTTTGCGGTTTTAGTGGTCACTGTGGACAGCTCAAATATATGACCCACTTATAGTTATAACAATGCAATAATTCTACTATTCAATATTTCTACATCTACCATATTAAAACCAAGTTTTTAAATTTATTACTACACATGCAAAATTCCTTCAAATAAAAATATTTTACTAAACATTATAAACAAGTACAATTTACAAACTTAACTAAATAATATATAAGATCTTAGAATATTATACCATATGATTTTCAGTTCCAATATTAAAATAATTGTCTTATGTTATAACCAATAGATAGAGAGATACAAAGAAATGCCAGGTTGCTGGTTGCTGAACCATGAGACATAACTTATTGAAACGATTAAAAATTATAATGACTAAATGATAAGTCTGAGTTGCTCACTATAAATCTTCCACATATTCCGGTATTTGATAATGTAAAATTTAATTTTAAAGTTCTTACGGCTAACTAAAACTAGAAAAATACTACTCGTACATATAATCATATGGCATAGGTATCTTTTAAATATATATATTCCAAATTATTTCAAACCAAATATAAAACCACCGATTCCGAAGTTACATGTAACTAATACGAAACTTATACTGATTTACACACATTAGAATTCACTTTGTTTCTTTGTACAATAATTGTCTAGTATATTTGGCTTCTATCAGCCTTAAGACGGACTATGACGCCTCGTGTACTTGGGAAACAATTGTGATTGGCATACAGGGTCCGACGATAGTTAGCATATATATATTAACTAACGTATATTGACTCCAAACTGCATTCTGTGAAGCCGAGCCGGTGAAATGGGTATATAAATCTTCGCTCAGTTAGTGAAGCACAAGCGTTGTGCGCAAGCGTGAATTTTTAATTATCGATCGGATAACTAAACCAATCAGAGCATAAGCTGTTCATTCGTACAGCTTCGTACGGCTTTCGTTCGCGATGCGAACACAAAGACAGTTGAAAAAAGAAATGAGGCACAGAAATGAGGATTGAGGATCGTGTTTGCGCTCCCGTTCGACCACGCGTTCCACAACGAATTTTGGAGTTGCGCTATTGCGACAGCGTTTTTCTAACAGACGAACTTATGTGAAATATATATGGACCGGTTATCTAGTTGTCTCTAACTCGGCTTCAACTCCAACACATTGCAGGGATAGGCGATGATCCGTATAGATTTGATATGTATATGATAGTTAGCCGTCTGAGCGCGCCATTATGTTTAAGCGTTGGTGAAATAAGATGCGCATCTTCATAGGCGATTTCGTAGCATAAAACCTGTCCGAGATTTAGTTTAGCTCTGCCGCCGCTGCGGCTGATAGTCGTTTACAGCGCGGCGGATAAAGAATACTGTACCGTAGTTCTGCTTGCAGTCGACAGAGTGAGTGGTTGCCGGAAACAGTGTTGCCAGAACTACTGATACATCCGTAGATTTACATATATTGGGTACAGTACGTTAATAATACGGATTTTCTGTCAATAATCATCATTTCCAAGCCAACTAAATGACCTTTTTCGATCATACGACATATTCAGTACCTAAAAGAATTTTTATTTTTGTTGTTTATTCTATGTTTGACACGAATATATTTTCAATACATAAACGCGGATTTTTCATCCAAAGATATTTTCGTCAAATTACAGATATTACACATTTTAATATGGGAACACTGTCGCTTTCATTTCCACATCGTCTTTGAACTGCCTTAGCTGGCCGAATTAGAGAAAATACGTGTTTTGCCGCAAAAGGATTGGTGTCTCTACCCTACAACATTTGAAAAGTAAGGAGAAACCAAATTAGCCTTGTCACAAATTCGCCCATTAGGTTGTGTATCTTCCCAATTCTTTCAATCAACGGTTTAAGGCTCAATTCAAAGAAAAATTCTGTTTGGCGATCGCTCAACGTTACGTCATCATTATTTATCAAATATGCGTTTTAGGGTGTGTCTGAAATCAGTTTATACTGTTTTAAGTATTAGCAAATTTTTAAGTACGTTCTAAAATTATTAAATGAGTGAGTTCTGTATTTATTAAGTTCATGTAGGGCTTAAATTCTAATGTTAGACCTTTATTCATTTTGATGGTCAGATAACTTATCAAAAATACTTAATATTCTATACAACAAAATACACTTTAATACTCTAGAGGTTCACAAATACTACTGGTAGTAAACAAGCTGTGGCAAAAATTTTCTATACTCCGCGTATAGTGATGTTGGTAGCGAATATTTCCATTCGAATTTTGCAGGAAATTTCAGAAATTTCCGAAATATTCGGTCCCAAAATCGCGAATATTCGCAAAAATCCGAATTTTGCAAGAAATTTCTTTTCAAAATTCAAGACATTGAGTAAAAATTTAACGAAAGTGTATCAAGTATGCCTATTCTTAAATCAGAAGAAAAAGAATGCTTCTCCGCCTTACAAAATAGAAAACGTATGGCTCTTAAAATAATGCATTTTGCCGCGAATCTCTTGGCCCCCTGTTTCCTAGGAGAGCACTTTAACAATGAAGAACACATAGCCGCTATGGAATTTATCAACAATATCACCAACAAACATCCTCAGTTTGTCAATAATAAAGAAGCCATTCATATTATATCATATTATATCATACAGATGTAACAAATTATTGCGCCAAATCGGGTTTATGGGCTCTCGACTACGTTTGGATGTCAGTTAAAAATGTAGACTGTCTAAGTTGGTGGCAAGCAATATGTAAAAATACTCAGTTGAAATATTTAGCTGTTACTCTGCTGTCTTTACCAACGTCATCTGCAGCCACTGAGAGAAGTTTCAGTACTTACAGTTTTATCCATACTAAAAAAGGAATAGCTTAACTGCACAAAGAGCCGGCAAAATAATGTTCGTAGCTCATAACAATAAATTATTACCTACTACAAAAACAAAAAGTGGATATGGAACATGATATGCAACAACATGAAACTCCTCCAGAACCACTAGACTAGAACCCGTAGAGGTAGAGGTCCATCCTTCAGAATCAGAACCAGATGATACATCAAATATACCTGATTTGGAAATAAAAACTGACAAAGACAGTACTACTACTACTACTATAATACCCTATGAAGATGGGACCAGCTCGGCGCCTGAAAGTATTCTGGAATAGAATAATTCAGTTAATTGTGTTTTACGTTTTTTAAATTTATATTTCGTGCTTTTTTGTTTTTTTTAAAGTTCATAGTCATAGTTCATGGTTTATGTACAAAGTACAAATGTTACCAAATAATTTTTGTTATATGTTATGTTTATGACTTTTAGGAGTTATGTATTGTTTATTAAAAATATAACAACTAATATTATGTTTATTGTTTTTTTTTTCACTTACATGTTGGTATCAAATGTCTATCTAATTTATTATTTATATATATATTTATATAAAATTTCTAAAATTTCATAAATTTCCGAATGTTTCCGAAAGTTTCGGAAATTTCCTGCAACAATCAAGTTTCCGAAATATTAACATCACTATCCGTGTAAACAAAAAACTATCGCAAATACTGTCTTTCGATTGACGTACATAGCCATCTCTTTATTAACGCAGCGCCGGTAGCTCTCGCAAAAAAAGCCGCATATTTCAAGTTTTTTTAAGCTAAAAAAATGCAATATTTTGAAAAAAGAACTACATTATAACCAGTAGATATCGGCAATGGTAATGTTCTTGCCATTTGATCAAAGTTCAGAATTTATTTTCTGTAAAAATAGCGCTAAAACTAAAGCTGAACGTGTGCTAAAAACGGCGAGCGTTGTACTGACTCAGAGCCTTCATGTAAAAAATTCGAAATATATAAAAAAAATAAAAAATAGGTGGTTTTATAATTTGGTTAATACAAAGCTACCAACTACGTCAAAAACTTACGGCTAATGCTCTTGTACTAGACCTCAACTCTCTATACTCCTTATACTCAAAACGTACAGGTTCCAGATCCGGTTTATCCTGAAAGCTGTCTTCCTCCAAAGGTGGCGTCATGTAGTTAATGTTTTTCCGCGATCTCAGCCGATGTTTCGATTCGTTTTCTACAACTTCGACCGGTTTGACCACATCCGACATTATGGAAGAAGATTTAGTTTTTGACATTGTCCTTCGTCTTATTCTTGGAGAAGTGAAATCCTCGTAACCTAACAAAGAATGGGAAATAATTATTTTTGAATTATATATTCGATAAATTAATAATTCCTAATTAAAGCCTGGTTGACGCGATCAAAGTGTATTTGGGCCAAGTCAACTGGATGCTGCCTATGATGCTGCCATATAAAAATATTTATATGGATGTTACGAGCGTCTCACAAATTTATGCTGTTTCTATGGTACCAATTGTTATCAAAGTCGAATTGAAAGGCCTCTTGCATCCAAGTAAGTTGGCAGCAATTTTGATGTTAAAAGCCTTCCAACTCGACTTGGATAAAGGTTGATTCTCACTATACCTTCCGTTTCCATTCCATATCCGTTCCGTATTTTTCATTGTATTCACTCTATCGTAAGCTTCCGTTCCGTATCAGTTCCATACTTTTTATTGTACAATTTATATCATTACTAAAGTTTTATTTTAGAAATTAGTATCTTCTGAAAAAGGTAATAAATAACAGAGCTGGTACTTAACGTAAGAACTTGACAACGCTGTTTCCGAAACGCTTCAGTCCGTGCGCCAAAAAAATGTATGGAAGGAAAGGATATGGAACGGAAGGGAAACGGAACGGATAGTGTGCATTAGTGATGTGTCGGTATTTGAGTAACGCGATTTTGGAGCGGTATTTTTTTGTAACGTCGTGTCGCGCTCCTCAACGAATCAGGAACCTGTTATTGAAGAACGACGATCATAATGACGACAAAATTATAAATTATTTATAATTTGCAAATAAACTAACGCTAACAGTAGTGACTGGTATGTCCGTAGCGCTGCGCGATCTCGATCGGGACGTGTTCGCTCCAGCCGTCGCGCTCCTAGAGTTGTAGTTTCCTGTCGCGAACAGAAGTAACTGCTGTAACTGGGCATCGACGCTCGACCTCGGCGGCGACCTACTTCGCTCCAGCCGTCGTGTTCCTCGAGTTTTAGTTCCCTGTCGCGAACAGAAGTAACTGCTGTAACTGATTATCGACGCTCGACCTCGGCGGCGCGGCGACGTACTTCGTTCCAGCAGTCGCTGGAGCACTTCTAGGGTTTCGTTTTCGCCTGTCGCGATTTGGTCGGTTACTACTGGCGTTAGTTCTCCCGTCGCTACGTTACTTTCGAAATAGCGATTTTTGGTATGTACTAGGCATGGTATAAAATAACGTTGTTAGAAAGATGAAACGTAAAAGCAAATAAAATACAAATGTTATTTGCTTTTATACGTTTATATAAGTTTTATTGTTCATATCTATGTTTAAGGTCTAATGATGGCTGGAATTGCCGAAACCGGTCACCAATAAAGAATTTTTTTGACAGTGGTTTGGACTTTGTTCTTGATTAAATATATTATGTTGCAATACACAAAAATATGAGCCGTTAAAGACAATACGTCATTCCTTGATATTTTTTTTTAAATTAATACATAATGCTACTTCCCGCAATATAATGAACAAAATCATTATAACGACAGGTAATCGATTTCGCAAGCAACTAACTATAGTTTAACTAACTTATTTTATTTTTGTATTTCTCAGCATCGAAAATTTTAAAAAATATAGGGCCATTTTCTATAAAGTAAACACCGCTCTCCATAGGCGTTCTATTAAGTTCATTATCTAAGTTCATGGCACGAATAGTTGTAACAGCTGGTACAATTATAAGAACCTGACAACACTGGTTGGGAGTAGATAACTAATGCCAGAAATACTGCATAAGCGAGGCCCGCGACACTGTGGAAGTCGGAACCTCGATTACAAAATAGCGGTATTTTGTCGCGGTATTTTTCTGGAACGGTCGTTACTGTAACGCGACTCATGTGGAATCGGTATTTCCATCACTAGTGTGCATTGTCCTATTCATTTACATGATATAATATTTTATGAAAACGGAAGGGAGCCAATACGGAAGGTATAGTGAGAATCAACCTTAAAACGGTTAATACTATACAAGCAGCGTACAAGTGAGACACGCGCTGGATTATTAGTAGTTATATGGCAACATCCAAGTGTACCTGGTTCAAGTATACTTGGACCGTGTCAACCCGCCTTAAGAGTCAAATAATGCTAATAATGAGAAAAAAATAAGTAAGTAATGTAAATTTTAACTAGAAAAAACTAAAATATTATTTTTATGATATTTTTCATAAAAAAGACATCTTAAATGTATGTATTGTGTATTGGACATTAATGTATATGGTTAATTATACCGTATGATCAAAAAAAAAGGCGTCAAAGACGGCTGGGGTATGACAATCGATGATACTTTTAGTGGGGTTAATCTCTAGACATTTCAAAAATTATTATTTATTTTTTCTCGAATTTTAAATTACACCATTTAAAAAACATTTTTACTCAATATAAAAATAAATAACAACCTTCTTAAGGCCAACTGGCAGTTAGCGCCATCCAATACGGCCATCAAAGAGTCCGGACCAAGTAATGACATCTAAGGCTAAGCCTCACCAAAATTATCATCGATGGTCATTCCCCAAAACCCCCTTTGACGCCGTTTTTTTTTCGATCGCACAGTATATGATTATAACGCCGATAATTTAACACAAGCAGCGACAAAAAAACTGTTAAAAAATGTATATACCTATGTGGCGGATTCATCTCTCCAAAAAAAAATCCTTATGGGTATTTCGCCACTGCACTGCAGATTTTCTTGCAGTGCAGTGGCGAAATACCCATAAGGATTTTTTTTTGGAGAGAAAAAAACTGTTACGTGACTTTTGGTGATCAATTTCAATTTGGTCTCCCAATGGAACACATTAACCTAACCTAACCAAATTAGAAACGAAGATGTGTGATGTATGTCCGAAGAGGCCAATATATCGTGCAGTTCATGTGGATTGTATAATCAACGAGAAATGATTCAAAAAATTGTTAGAGTGAAGACCACAAACCGATAATTGCAGTAGGGTCAGGCATACTACAAGATATAAAGACGACATTAAAAGAAATAAATTGGTAAAACACGGCAGAATGAAAAGGACTTATTTAAAAAAGATTTTTATTATTATTTTTCATTATTTATTTAAACATAAAACAGGAAAAATTTTACAAACTGTAATTTAGGAATAATAGTTCGCATTAGTTGCTACTTTCAAATATCACTGCCTTGACAACGATGGCTAATGATACGTAATTAGTATCAGACAGATCCTGTTACTTACCAAAAAATAACAGATATGAAAATATCACGGCGTTGACAGCGATGTCTCTTTAAACAATCATCGATTGTTAAATAACTTTAGTGGTTTCAACTGTTATTTTAAAATAACAGCGTTGATGAAAGAAATGAAGATGGGCAAAAGCAAGAAAAGCTGAAGAAATAAGAAGATGGGCAACCTTATGGGCGTCTTCGTGGCACAAAACCTGTCCGAGATGTGATACCGTTGCCGCTAGTCAACCTGTCCGAGATTTATTTAGCTTTGAACGTCTGCCCGCTGATAGTTGTTTAGAGCACAGCGGATAAAGAATACTGTACCGTAGTTCTGCCAGAGTAGGTAGATCGCCGAGTAGCGACAGAAACCGTCGGCCCTTTTGATGTGGTGGGACCAAATTTTCTTTCTCTCTCTTTTGACGTGTTTGACAGATAGACTACGTATTTAACTGCTCAACTTATGAAGTGATCCTATAAACATGGTATACACTGCTCACAATTTGAAATGGAATTAATTATTAAGTTTTATACATATCTTTTTTGTTTTGTTTTATCCTTATTTCTAAATTTGAATGTATAAAATATCTTACTGCTAATAAATAATTAAAAAAAACGATTCGTTGCCTGAGGTATACTTGAAATAAAGTATATAGAGATATTTGATAAATGGCAACAGTGGCAACTTCGCTTCTTCGTATGACAGATAACCTACTTATTTCGCGCAGCCGCAAAGAAAATTGAAAACGGGACTGTCGCTACTCGGCGGTTTAGGTACTCTGGTTCTGCTTTCAGTCGACAGAGTGGGTGGTTGCCAGAACTACGGATTAATCCCTAGATTTACGGATTTTGGGTGGAGTACGTTAATAATTTAATAATAATATGTATTTTCTATCATTAAACAATTTAATATAATATTATATGATTAAACAAAGAACAGCGTCAGTTGGCTTAGAAATGAAGATCGCTGTTTTTAAATGAAGATCGCTAATATTATGGTAAATGCCAATAGAAACGTCATTTCCAAACCGACTAAACGACTTTTCTTCGATCATACAAAATATTAAGTACTGTAACAATATTTTACGGTCGCTACCGGCATAGTGGTCTGCCGCGTCCGGTTTGGCTGAACCATCGTAGGCCATCGCCGAAGACGACGCTCAGCGCCGTAACAGCGCTTTCAGATGGAGCGGAGCGTCCGCGACGAACCGTCCGTCGTGTTTTTTCAAGATAGCCGTCAGACGAACTCCGTCGTATGGAGCATACGCGCCCATGTGAAATTGTTCATATAAACTCATGATACTTGCTCGAAGTCGCGGACGGTCCAAAAGAGAGCTACTCTAGCAGACCACAATGTAAAGAACATTCAATAAGACAGAAACACGAACATAGGGTGTTTTTAGGACCCCAACTACCTAAACCAAAATAAAACTTGGATTGTGAGTTCCTAAATGGATCTGAGCTAAGGCGAATTAATCTATTATTACCGTCAGAAAGATTTCTGTACCGACGCCCTGTTGTGTAATATACATTATTATTTTTCAGTAATAAAATAAACACACATGCTTTACCATAAAATACAATTCTAAATCTAACGTTAATAAAAACTGAAAACTTCTAAATTGATATTCAAAAAACTAAAAAAAAATCTAAACTACCTAAACAAAAGTCAACTTGGACCATACTGCAACCAATCCACCGCGCGAAAGCAAACTCTTGCGCGGTCGACAACTACGTTACGGTAAACGGAAAACAAGCTCTACTGAAATGTGTTAGTTTTTCTGACCTATTGCCTCGATGCCGGTTAAACTCAGTAAGGATTGGATGCCAAAGTCAGAATGAATGTAACTGTTCAAAGCTATGTAATTGGCATCTTCTCCGATCAATTTTAGATGTTTTTTCGATTGAATATGATCTTCGATGCTGTTGTAAGGTAAGCTGCAAATGGCACAGTACCCGGACTGCAGTATAGGTATTCTCGGTCACCTGGTTCTGATCGGCTTTCGAGTCACGGTACCGGAGTCATTGGGGGAGAGCAAGCTGCTATCCTCTAACAAGCTGGTTTTCGACTTGCCAGTGGAATTAACAGAGGTATAGTTGGATATTTTCGTCAAACGTATTAAAGATATTACGGATTTTAATATGGCAACACTGTCGCTTTCAGTTCCACACCGTCTTCGATATGCCTTCGCTAGCCGAATTAGAGAAAATGAGTGTTTTGTGCGTTGGCCGCGGGACGAGTAGAGGCTCCACCGCTCCACCATACAGCACTTGAGACGTAAGGGGAAATCAAATCAGCCATGTCAAGAATTTGCAATTCTTTCACTAAACGATAACAGTTTTGCCCCTATCCAAACACAGGATTCATGACTTAATAAATTACATGATTTTATGGAAGCCAGAGTTAAAACCGTGAGAAAGAGAACTACACTAACAGACCACAGTGTAAAGAACATTCAATAAAATAGAAAAACGAACATAGGATGTTTTTAGAACCCCAACCTAAACCAAAATAAAACTTGGATTGTGAGTTCCCAAATGTATCCGAGTTAAACTGAATGAATTGATTATTACTATCAGAACGCCCTGTTGTGTACTATGTATTATTGTTTTTCAGTAGTAAAATAAACACACATACTTTACCAAAAAATACAATTCTAGATCTAACGTTAATAAAAAAATCAAAACTTCTAAATTGATATTCAAAACTAAAAAAAATCTAAACTACCTAAACAAAAGTCAACTTGGACCATACTGCAACCAATCCACCGCGCGAAAGCAAACTCTTGCGCGGTCGATAACTACGTTACGGTAAACGGAAAACAAGCTCTACTGAAATGTGTTAGTTTTTCTGACCTATTGCCTCGATGCCGGTTAAACTCAGTAAGGATTGGATGCCAACGTCAGAATGAATGTAACCGTTCAGAGCTATGTAATTGGCATCTTCTCCGATCAATTTCAGATGTTTTTTCGACTGAATGATCTTCGATGCTGTTGTAAGGTAAGCTGCAAATGGCACAGTACCCGGACTGCAGTATAGGTATTCTCGGTCACCTGGTTCTGATCGGCTTTCGAGTCACGGTACCGGAGTCATTGGGGGAGAGCAAGCTGCTATCCTCTAACAAGCTGGTTTTCGACTTGCCAGTGGAATTAACAGAGGTATAGTTGGATATTTTCGTCAAACGTATTAAAGATATTACGGATTTTAATATGGCAACACTGTCGCTTTCAGTTCCACACCGTCTTCGATATGCCTTCGCTAGCCGAATTAGAGAAAATGAGTGTTTTGTGCGTTGGCCGCGGGACGAGTAGAGGCTCCACCGCTCCACCATACAGCACTTGAGACGTAAGGGGAAATCAAATCAGCCATGTCAAGAATTTGCAATTCTTTCACTAAACGATAACAGTTTTGCCCCCATCCAAACACAGGATTCATGACTTAATAAATTACATGATTTTATGGAAGCCAGAGTTAAAACCGTGAGAAAGAGAACTACACTAACAAACCACAGTGTAAAGAACATTCAATAAAATAGAAAAACGAACATAGGATGTTTTTAGAACCCCAACCTAAACCAAAATAAAACTTGGATTGTTAGTTCCCAAATGTATCCGAGTTAAACTGAATGAATTGATTATTACTATCAGAACGCCCTGTGGTGTACTATGTATTATTGTTTTTCAGTAGTAAAATAAACACACATACTTTACCAAAAAATACAATTCTAGATCTAACGTTAATAAAAAAATCAAAACTTCTAAATTGATATTCAAAACTAAAAAAAATCTAAACTACCTAAACAAAAGTCAACTTGGACCATACTGCAACCAATCCACCGCGCGAAAGCAAACTCTTGCGCGGTCGATAACTACGTTACGGTAAACGGAAAACAAGCTCTACTGAAATGTGTTAGTTTTTCTGACCTATTGCCTCGATGCCGGTTAAACTCAGTAAGGATTGGATGCCAACGTCAGAATGAATGTAACCGTTCAGAGCTATGTAATTGGCATCTTCTCCGATCAATTTCAGATGTTTTTTCGACTGAATATGATCTTCGATGCTGTTGTAAGGTAAGCTGCAAATGGCACAGTACCCGGACTGCAGTATAGGTATCCTCGGTCGCCTGGTTCTGATCGGCTTTCGAGTCATGGTACCGGAGTCATTGGGGGAGAGCAAGCTGCTATCCTCTAACAAGCTGGTTTTCGATTTGCCAGTGGAATTTACAGAGGAGGTATGTTTGGCAGAACTCTGAAATAAAAGAAAAATTTAATTAGGACAAAATCTTATAGTCGTTCATGAAAAAATCATAATACTATCTTTCAATACAAATTTTCATTGAGCGTGAGTTTCCTTATAAAGTTGTTTGGATATACGGATGATCTAAAATGACAATATTATTGACTATTTAAAATACTTATCTAGGTACGATATATAGAAGATGAAGACCATATTTCTTTATTCATTTTTTAAATCTGCTTGGACTTATTTAAAAAAAATAGATAGTGTTGCAATTGAAATAACGAAGTTTTTATGGTAAATAAATATTTAAAATAGACCAGTAATTTTTGATACCTCTGTATACATTTAAGGACGCAATCAAATTTTTTAGTTAAGTTTATTTCACTGGCTTAAAAGTCAGCACAAGTATTAATTCTGAAAAGAATGTGCATAATTTAATAATAATTTTTAGTGTACAAGGTGTTGACAAACTTTTTTATTATGGAATGCAGATTTAAATATCTCTCCTAACCAAAGCTTTTAAACATATTAAACCCTTATAATAAATACCTTATTTTATGTCCAAGATTCCAAGAAAATGAAATAAAATGCCGGGTGTTCCATAAGAAAAAATATAATTTTGGTATGGATCTTAGTTCTGACACACCCTATACATTTCAAAATAATTTTAAATTATGCACATTGCCTTCCCACATATACCCATAAAATATTTTGTTTCTACATCTTTCCGTTGTCGTATAATCAATTGAAGCGAATGAGATGCGCCACCCTGTATATGTTTAAATAAATAAATTTTTATAATTTGAACCTAAAACTTTGCTTAAATTTACTTATTTTAAATGTTGCTATTAATTATCACCTCCTCTTTTATATACGAAATTAAACAGAAATGGGTTACTGGAGGAAATCTGCCGGAAAATCGAAAAAGAGAAGAAATAACAATTCATTCTCTATAGCATTCGACTTCGTGTTGGTTGGTTGAACGTGCCAAATGTGGAAAATGAGAGAACCGACATAAGCGGTCAAATGAGTAACTGAAGTCGAGGCGACGCCGACGCCCATATGCAGCTTTTTTATGTCCTTTGGTGCGTGTCAAAAAATGGACAAGTCGACGGATATGCTTATTCACAATCCCTGCTTATGTGTGCAAATAAAATAAATATAGACGAATAAACCCTTCATCGTTTGTGGTCGAATCGAATATTCTAGCATTATACGCTAGAGATGAGCCGCAAATTGCAAACTGCAGCGATTTTAAAGTCGCAATTGCAACCTGGGATGCTTAACCAATGGAATCGCAACCTAGTTGCGATTTGCGATGTTGCTGCGAATGTAATTTTGTGGTACATTGAAGCATTTTATAGTAAACTGCGATTGAATTTTTTCTCTGATTTTACTTATTTATAGAGAAGGTATTATTTTTTAGGGCCAAGATCAATAATATACCGAGTGTTTCTTAAGAGTAGTTCGCCTCTATAACTTTTTTATTTTTTCCTGATAAAAAAAATGAGATTTGGTATGTAAGCATATGACATAAATTAGGATTGATTGACGTATTCAATTCGTCTCATCACTTCCTGTTTCACCGGAAATGAATAGAACTTTTGATTTTTAAATGGCACCCTCGGTATTTTTTTTACATTATTCGAGAAATTGACACTCTGAATAGAATGCCTAGTACTATACATAAATATTAAAATCGCAATCGCAGGTTACAGTCGCAGCGATTTAAAATTCGGAATCGCAGTTTTGTTCATCTATGATCTAACCTTTATAGTTTGTTGTTGATTTCAGGAAAACGAGAATTTTGAGAAAGCTGGTTCTTTAATATAGGTATGTATATCTTTTGCTATACTCTCCTGACCAAAGTGCGGGCCGTCTGGCTGCCGGTTGATTACTGCGGTTCGCTACTGCGCATCATATCTAAACAGGGTATTTTCATATATCATATCTAAACACAAATCATATCTAAACAGGTAAACATTTTCGTGTTTTTATGGGATTTATGAATAGAGATACAATGATGCGATTTTCACATACAGTACATCTGCTGGATCTGTGTCTATGAAAGGAATGTGGACAAAAAACATTTAAATAAACAGCAATATATTTTATACGTCGATTTGACGAGTGCGTCACCGCAAATCGCTCCGCCCACTCATTTTATTGGCTACTTGCAAATTTGTTGAATTTTTATTGATGGGACGCGTCGTCTATTTTTTACGAAAAACATCGAGAGAATATCGTTTCGCCTCTCACGGATACCCCGTAGCTACAGAACGGACAGACGTACTGTATTTTGCTACTTTTTTCATGAAACTAAATATGCTATACATAGGTTTGTCCTAACCTCCTTAGTTTCTGAAAAACAGAGCGAATTTGTGATGCGCAGTAGTGATCAGATGTTGAATACAGATATGATAACCAACGCAATAGTGAACGCAACGTCTACCGGCAGCCAGACGGTCCGCACTCTGTTCAAGAGAACATAGCAAAAGATATATTAAAGAACCAGCTTTCTTAAAATTCTCTCTCAAAAACGTTGCTAGCTCTTAGACAATACGTAAAACAGCGAAATCGTTATCGAAATGAAAATATTAAATGACATCAATCACAAGCAAATCGCATATCCGATGAACGGAGGCATGAAAATGCAATAAATTTAAAAACTGCGTAATTTTCTAACCAATCGAAGTCTTTAAATTCAACCAATAAAATTAATATCGTATCATCGTATCGTCGGACAACGGATGCATGAAAATCAAGCTAAGCTGTGTTTTCAAATCGGTTAGATTTCGTTTTGCGACTTTTTTGCATTTTGTCTAGTATACAGTATACTACACATGCACGATCGACACTATGTCGTGTTTTAAAGAAATTTTAACTTCAGACCCCAACCCATTTTATAATGATACTAATATTTTAAAAATAAAAATGTGACATACAGCATACAACTGTTTGTATAAATGATGAAATTCTCCATATGATTTTCAATATTTGTTAAAAGGATATATAGGGTGTCCCAATATACTATGGACATAGAACTACTATACATTATTGGAATCAAAATAAGTTCATTGGACGTCATTTACCTCTATAGAAAAGTGCTTTGTTTGTCTGTTAGAGGGCATTAAACTTTAAAAAAATATACACATTTTTTCAGATATTTTAAGAACCGTTAATCCGATTTGAGTGATATTTTGGGTGTGTATGTTTTGCTAAGTGCTTTAACATTTACCTTTCACAAAAAATAAGAAAAAGTACAGAGAAGAGGGAAAACTACCCCCACCCTTACATAAATTTTAGTATAAATATTTTCCAACTATATAAATAAATAAAAATATAAAATAGTCGCTCTAGTATTTACTACATTTTTATATCTTGTAAAAAAACGCCGCCGCGCATACTTTTCGAGGGAATTTTTTTTTCCAAAACTGACTTCCAAAAAATATTTCTTGTTGCTTAATAATCTAGTTGGCGAAAATATGGACAGAGACAAAAACGTAGTAAATACTAGAGGGACCATTTTACGGAAATATTTTATTTTAGGAAAAGAAAATCTGTCATTGGTGGAGTTGTACCATAGGAGTATACTAAAATTTATGTAAGGGTGGAAGTAGTTTTTACCATAAAATAATAAATACAAGAAGAAGTGTCAAGTCAATGTTAAATTATGGAAACAGCGTGGCTGCCTGGGTAACTAATTTTCAGATATGGCGGCTGGGACATTTGACATGACATAGACATGACAATTTCAATTTTATGAAATTTATTTCCGTTTCCGGTTTTTAATGGCGGGCTGTTCAGGAGGTTTAAATGAGGGTTAATATACTTTTTACTCTTTCTAGTAGTAAATAATACAACAAAATTACTCAAAAATATTTATTTGGAATTTAGAACAATGTAAATATGCAAATCAACACAATTAAAGACACTATAATCCAATAAACAACTGTATCAATATCAAATATTTAAATAATATCAGAGATGCTGTGTTAAAGTGAATTAGTGAAGTAACAGTGCATTGACTTACAGAAACTTGAAGATAAATAAATGTTTTCACAGCTTCACGGGCATAAAAACTAAATAACTGGAAGCAGGAAAAAAAGGCAACCCGGAACCCACACAAAACCACAAATCAAAAAATATGTAAAATACATAAATATAGGCACATAAGACTTTTGTGAATTAAATCAAACAGGACTTGAATGAAAATAAAATGAATAAAAATATGATACATATACATCTAATACCTCCTTTGTATTTTAAAATAATCTACATACATAGATTTATAGCATTATTGCTATGAAAATACATAATAGGCAAATTACCTATGTGATATGTAATTACGCATTTCTGTTCATCTTGTAGAAGATTAATGTAGGCTAATAATAGTTCAATAATCATAATTTACCTTGTATAACTTGCTTTCAATTGCTCAAAATCACCGATCAGTCTTTAAAGTAGAGATACAGGAAAAATCCTTGGCAAAAGAATATCCCAAGATCCTTGGGTTTAAAGCTAAAAATATAAAAACAGTTAATATATTACCTACTTTTACATATAATATGGCCCAAACCTACTACACACAGAAACGTCGATTTCATCATTTTCTTCATGTAATTAATATCATATATACTTTATTAAAGTGTTAACAAGGAACTTTATATCAAAAACATATTTGTACTTATAAATTTCAGCCGAAATATCAGAAACAAACTTCAATCAAATCGTGAAAAAGTGGCATTAAAAACTTAAAAAGCTGTGCTGTGAACTGCAGAAACCATCGTGGATCGTGGCATAACGTCGGTTTCCAATGTTTCATAGGTATTTCATACATGCGTCCTTATATAAAATAAAGTTTCTTGTATGCAACACACTGTATTTTATTTATAAAATTAAACGAAAATAACAATAAATTTGAATAACTAATATTTGGCGATATAATTCCGGAAAAAGCCGAACCGCTCCGAAATTTTCAAAAGTTTTGGGTCGCGACCGTTGCAAGGATAGCGCCAAATAGTGTTTACATTGTCCTTATGGGCACTTTCCAATCTAAACTTGTTTCATTTATCTATGGTTTTTACCCTTCCCATATTTTTTCTTGATTTTTCTGAAAATCAAATGTTAAAGCATTTAGTAAAACATAGACGCCCCAAATCCCATTCAAATCGGAATAATGGTAATACAAAACACTAAATTTTGAACGTTTATTTGTGGGTATCAAAGATAGGTATATATGTAACCCTCAAATCACATGAAAATAAACGCGCCAAGGTTAAATTTAAAATTTACTTGACTATGAATTATCATCGATAAATATCACCTATTTAGTTATACTTAGATCAAATTAAAAAGAAATTATATTACTTACTAATCTTGTTCTCCTTCCTTCCAACATGGCATATTAGCCCATTCCTAAAAAACGATAACAATTTCCAATTATGCAATATACAGCTCAAATTACATTAAACTGTAAAATATTATATTCGATTAAAAATAAGTATTTTTACTATACGAGTGAAGAAACTTAAAGGTTTCTGAAAGAAAATTAGAATAGAAATTTGACCCAATTAAAGAAATTTAAATGAACAAAAATAATTTTACTACTGACCATTAAATATAGAAACACTCTTATTAAGCTGTTATATTGGATTTTTTCGATAAACATAATTTGTATTGAAATAATAATCATATTTGGTAAATTGAACAATGTTTATATTTTGTAGATAATTTGTAAATTAAAATTTTGTATTAGCGATTTGGCAACACTGTCTAATTTTGGCAACCTTGAGTATATAAATGTATAAATTTGTCAATTTTTAAATAACATAAACAAATACATCTATAATTAAAAAAAATATTGATTATATTACAATTAACATATTTGAAAGAATAGGTAAGTTTTATAAAAGATTAATCTATTATTAAAGTGACCCTTTGACAGTCATTTTAAATTGGATAATTTAAATGAAAACAAACAGTAAAAATATTTTATTTTTGCATTAAAAATATACCTCTATAGTAGTACTTGCCTGGCCCCGACAGTTAAAATTAGATGCACTACACGCCAGAAATGTTCGCTACCGCTTTTTAAGTTAGAAACAGCAAGCAATCTAGAGAGAAATTATGTGTACACTGCTATATTTAATAGGAAAATTCCGCCAATTTTTTGTCGAAAAAAATGTTTTGCAACGGAACAATACGACACGTAGATGCAATCCGACGGCGGACCTGCTTCGATAAGGTTTTTCAAGCGGCCAAGTCACCTCCAAGTGGGACACAAAAGCAGCTACAAGCAATCTCGGCCATTAAACCGATATGTACGCTTGCTTCTTCCCAACACGCCCTAATAAGTTATATTGTTCCACTGATGTTTTTAATCGAGCTGTAACATTATCACCACACTTTAGGCTTTATTTATAACAAGGTTTGCACTTTCTAAATCACTAAATACACGAAAAATTCACTTTTATAATCTCCAAAACATTCGACGTTCCGCTCCTCTCCGAACTTTTCTTCAATCCATTTGTGTATTGCAATGTTGCCGCTTTTCAAGAGATCAAATAATATCGGAGGGAAAGTTATTTAATGTACGCCTATTTGTAAATGTTAAAAAAATGTAAAAAGTAATTATTTAAAAACTGCTTTTATAATAACTCACAGAATGTTATTAATTCGAATAGAAGTATTTAAAATAAAATTTATTAAATTATTGAATCAACTACATTGTGTGACAACCGGCAACGTGTAAGATTCTGACAAATGACAGACAGGGGCACCAACATTCAAAAAATGTATTCCGGCAAAATAATATAATTTAAAAATAAGTTTTAAATTAATTATTAACTATTCGACGGAATAAATAATAAAGAAATAAAACACATATGGCGGTATTTCTAAAAAATAGTTTTATTTATTCGAATGTTTAATTCTAGATCATATTATACCGTAGGATCGAAAAAAAATGGCGTCAAAGACGGTTGGAGATGGAGAATGACAATCGATTATAATTTTGGGGAGGTCAATCTCTAGACACATTTTACTAAATATTGACATAAAACTTGTCAAAAATTAACACTAATTATAGAAAGATTTAAAAAGGATAGAGCCGTTTTCAGACACTCAAAAATCTATTTTAATTTTTAGTTTGGTTTGGTTAGGTTAGATGACCTAAATACAAAATATTTTCATGGTGTCTGTCTGTCTATCTGTCAGCAGAGCTGTCAGTCTGTAACACGATAACTCAAAAACCGCTAAACCGATTTTAACCAAATTTGGCACAAAAATACTGTTGCACCCGAGAATCTGGCTATTAGTTTTTGGTGGGGGTGGGTGTTCGTAAGGGGGTATAGGAGGGGGTTAAAAATTTAAAAAAATCGTAACTCCAAAATTACAGTAGCTAGCGAAACGCGGTTTTCAATTTAAGATTAGGAATAATATTTGCAACAAAATTTGTAATAACATCAAAATCAGTCAAAGTAGCAGTTTTTGAGATATTCCGTGTTTCCGTAGTCCGTTTTTGAGAAAATCCGTGTGGAGAACTCCAAACTCCCATCGGACGCGACCCCAGGTGGCGGATAGGGGAAATAACCGCGTCCTTTATTTTGAAACTAAAAGCTGCCTACCAACTTTTTATTAACATATTTTAGTATGGGCGGCTATACGTGCCTCCCGGCGCCAATTTTTTATTTTTATTTTTAGAGTTTTCACAAATTATACTTCCTAACAGTTTTAGAATAATAAAATAATAATTTTTCGTATTCTCGCTATTTAAACCCGTGTATTTATAAGTACTAGTTGTTTACGATATTCTCCGATGGTGGCAGCACAGGCGGTAAATGTTGAGCAAAATAAATTGTGTACTTCTTTAACATGTTAAAACAGTAGAAGACATGACATTAATTAAAACTCTATCAATAAAAATCTATCAAAGAATGAACACGAAATTACATTACCATAAAAATGCGTTTTGATTTTTAAGAGTTTCAGGAAAAATTCTAACTATATTTTCATGTTTTTTTTTTAATTTTTTCTAAAACGATTTGGAAATTTGGAAAGGTATAAAGTGGATTAACCATTTGAGAACAGAGACATTTTTTATGAAGAATGCATTTTCCTCAAAATATCAATAATAAAAAAGGTTTTCCTCTTGTAAAGACAATCCGGGGACCCTAGTTTTCTTCACACTCATTTGGCAGATTTTAGTCCTTGAAATACCTCCGTATATACAGGGTGAGTCTTAAAAAGTGCAAATATTTTTAGTGGTAGTATATTTCGAATCCAGAAACACAACTATGAGGTTATTTTCGCGAAAAAAAACTGAAAATTTGAAATTTTTTGAAAAATAATTTGGATTTTTTTTTAGTTTTTAGTTAAAAAACATAATTTCAAGAATTTCAAGAAATATGGCAACATAGATAGTAGATTAAATTTACAAGAAAGAAAATCCAGAAAGGATCCAAGGTGGTTTTAATTTTAGTGAAAAATATATCTTTTTTAAATTTCCAAAGTAAAATAACTCGGTTTTTTTGGATTTATTTTAAAAACGGTAGAGACAAAATATGTTTCTTTTATCGAGATCTACCAGTCCTAAAAATACTTGCACTTATTTAAGACTCACCCTGTATATAGTTTATCCAACGAATCGGGGAATATTTTGACAGACGACATTACGTTCGTTGAGTTACGTACGAGTTACGTCGGGAAAACCTCTAGTATAAATATCATAAATTTCCAATTTGATGATAAGTATAAAAAAGTTGTATAACTATATAGGGTGGTCCGAATTGTATTCCGGAAACTTCGGTAGCATATTTTCCAGATAAAAATAAATAAAAAAAGTTCGTATTAATGTATGTCCTAAAATGCTTAGTTTTGGAGATACAGGGTGTAGAACTTTCATTTTTATTTCGATTTTTAATAATAATAATAATAATAATAATATATTTATTGAAGTTTGTATATATACAATGCAACAAAATTTATATAGATGAGTTTAAAAAACATTATCATACAAAAAACAACAATATAATCTTACAAACTACAAAAAGGTTGGAAAAACAACAGTTGCTGATCAGGTTCCAGCCTCAAAGTTAAAAAAAAGTAATATAAAAAATAATAATTTAAATATAATAAAAACAAAACAACTAAAGGCAATCTAAAATTTGCCAAAAAAATCAGATAGAAAACAGCACCTACACGCAACATGCAACCTAATCAATATTCAGAAAGTATTTTTCTTGCCTTTATCTTAAATTCACCCAAAGAGCAGTTCTTACACCTAACATCTAGATTGTTGTACATACTATAAATATTAAATGTAAAAGATCGTTCAAACAATGCAGATCGGTGCGGAGTGGGTGAAATGAGACCCCTGTGCCTTAAATTCAAATTGTGAATATCAGTACGAAACTGTATTTTTTCATAAAGGTAAGGTGGACTTTTATTTATTATAATTGAATGGAACAGAGTCAAAGAGTGCAGTCTACGCCTAGTTGCCATGTTTATCCATTTTGCCTCTTTAAGTTTATGAGATATTCTATCATATTTCCGAATACCATATATATAACGCAAACAAGATTTTTGAACTTTTTCTATTCTGGCGGTATCTCTAACGTCTAAACAAGGCCCATACAATACATCACAATAATTAAAATGACTAAGAACTAATGTATCGGTAATTTTTATTTTAGTTGGTATATCAAGTATTTTACGATGGGGATAAAGCATCTTAAGGTTACAATATGCTCTCTGAAGTAGCTTTGCAGTATGTTTTTTAAATCTAAGATCCACATCCAGTTCAACTCCCAGATTCTTAGCACACGACACAGCACTTAATTCTTTATTGTCAACCATTATCTTTAATTTACTTTGTACTTCTTGGCGTTTATAACCAAAAATTAACACTGAAGATTTATTAGGATTAATAATTAAGTCATGTTTACTGGAAGCTTTAACCAATTTATCTATATCACTATTTAAGACTTTATTAGCATTATCTATTATTTTTTCTAAATAATTTAATAATAATTATCTATTATTTTTTTTATCATTATTTTTTCTAAATAATTTTTGAAGTAACGTCAATATTTGCATGAAAATTGGTGTCTGGGAGTTTTTTGACTCATACTTATAGAGGGCGCCACCTACATATTTGTTAACTGGTTTGAAGAGTAATAACTTTTCGTCCGTACCTGTATAGAACTACATAGTGAAAAAATATACATCTCCGTGACTTTTTACGCAAAAAATGTCTCTTGGTGAAAATCGCTACGAACAACCGTTCTCAAGATATTTAGAATGGGAATAGTCAAGACATGGCATTATTGACAAAAAATAAACACGTTGAGTAGTTATTTGACTGAACTAATAAATTTGGGAAATTTTTATTTTTTTATATTAACCTTAAATTTTTCTACGAAAAAATGATGATAAAATTGTTTCTTATGTTATGTCAATGATGACAGGTATTGATACTTTCGATTCCAAATATCTCGAGAAGCATTACTCGTATCGATTTTTACCAAGGGACCTACGTAAAAAATGTCGTAAATGTACATTTTTCTACTCAGTAGTTTTATACAGGTACGGATGAAAAGTTTTTACATTTCAAACCAGTTAAAAAATATGTAGGCGGCGCCCTCTATAAGTAGGAATCATATTGACCTCAAAATCAAATTTCTCATGTCAAAAAACTCTCCCAGACACCTATTTTCATCCAAATATTGACGTTACTTCATAAATTATTTGGAAAAAATCGCGAAATAAAAATGAAACTTCTACACCCTGTATCTCCAAAACTAAGCATTTTTGGACATACATTTATAGGATTTTTTTTACTTATTTTTATCTGCAGAATGTGCTGCCGAAGTTTCCGGAATACAGTTTGGACCACCCTGTATAGTCTTTCTGTAAATATGACTAGTGATGGGATAACTCGAGCGAAAATTCGCTCGAGTACTCGATTATTAAAATAACCGACATCGCTCGATTATGAACGAGCGTACGAGTAGGTACCAAGCGACGAATGCAAGCGATCCTAGAATGAAATAAATTGAAATCCGATTTTAATGTGACATACTCGAAAAAACCCGAGCGAATTTTCTACATACATTGCAGGTAGCAAATTTATACGACGCCGTATATACCGGGTGCGTCTCAAAAGTGGCTCACCTTTAACTTTTTTATTTTTAAAGATAAAAAATGAGATTTGGTATGTTAGTATATGACATAAATTAGGAATGATTGACGTATTCAATTGTTTTCTGCCACTTCCGGTTTCACTGGAAATAGTGATGTGCAGGTCGGAACGTGCCTCAGGGAACGTGCCCATGTTCCGGGAATGTTCCGGGAACGTTTTGGTTTTTAAATGGCATCCTCGGTATTTTTTTACTTTGTTCGATAGAAAATGACATTCTAAATAGAATGACGTATCTTATGTCAACTTTTGATATATTCGCTCAAAAACAAATTGTATTTTAAATCTCAGTCTAGATGACTGCCATGTCTGTGTTAAAACACTAATTTTTTAATCAAGGAG